CTAGAGTGCAAATATAGGGGTCAGCTGCGTCCCGCTGCCCTTGGGGAGTGCGAAGATGCCATACCAAGTCCGCCAGAGAATCAAGCTCCTGTCCCATGAGGGACGATTTGTTCCTCCATCTCGCGATTTTGCCATCCATAAAATCAAAGAATAAACCAAAGGGCATGAAACCAAGAGCGGCCCAAATAGCACCATGATCGTGTGGGTCTCCTAGACAATACCGCATCGACGAGAATACGGACATGACTATTCAGAATCTAGTCAGTGTCGGTTCACAATTTCGATTCAATGAGATCGCGGTCTTGCCTCCACAGAATCCTATCGAGTACGGTCAGCATAAAGGACGGACGATGTTTTTCTAACAGATCTTACCATTCAGCTCGGTCACCAAATCCGCAAGATGCAACGCCCTGCACGAAATTTGAATAAGCAACGTATCTTGATTCCCACCAGGTACTCAGATGCTAACCTGACCAAGCTAAAGTGACCCGTCTCCGACGAGAGGAGCATCTTCTGCTTTTCCTGACCTGCAATCAATGGGTGAGCATGTTGCGGTACAATTGCACCGTTGGTGATTCGAACTCACCTCCGTCGCCTGAAGCTGCGACACCGCTATTTGAAGACTGACTTGACGACATGGCTGCTGGCCGACGAGACATGCTCAATCCGTATCAACAAGAGTAGACGATATATGTGAGAAAAATTTACTAAAATGCAGGTTTCAGAGCGATCTGAAGGCTCTTGTAGGAAAGTAGCAGGTTAGAACAGGTCGAGGATTCCAGTGTTGACAAACGCACAGATTCTCCGGTTCCAGGGTCGGCCCAGACGTCATTGGAAAGGCGGTGCAAAGCTGCGCCACATGATCAAGCCACATGCTGCTAGGGAAAATTTCCAGCTTTAACATTCGATGATGCTACAGGCCTGGTTAACCTCTATTTAAAGGATAATGGACGTAGTCTTGTTGCAAGCGGACGAAAGTTGGACCCAGGCTGTGTACTTTACAACATCGCAGAAACTGAAGCAGCAAACTTTCATATGCATAATAAAATATCTCGAAAAAAAAGGTTCCTGAAAGAGCTCCCGTTTTCCCATAACGCCATAATAAGACAGTACTAGTCAAGACAAACTGTCTATCGTCGGAAACCTCCACTTCCACCGCGAGGTCCTCCTCTACCACCACCTCTGCTCCCACCACGGAAGCCGCCTCCACCAAAACCACCTCCACCAAAACCTCCTCCACCAAAACCACCTCCCCTAGGTCCTCCACGTCCTCGGGGGGCGCCGCCTCGGCCACCGCGAGGTGCACCACGTCCACCTCTGGCGCCTCCGCGAGCAAAACCGCCTCTGCCACCGACGGCCTTCTTCGGTTTCGAACCTAGACAAAGTTAGAATAAGTATACGATAACTGGACGAATCTAACGGCATACCCGGAGGGGGCTTAGGCTTGGGAAGGAACCTATTATTGGACAGTTAGTCACGCAACCATGCGAATCAAAGCGATGCAGAACGTACTTCTCAAGCGGAAGAAGCTTGTCTCCTCCAATATAGACCTTGTCGCCAGGCTTGAAGGATGTCGCGACAATGCCCTCCTGAGGCTTGATGGTGAAGTAGACCTGGTTGATGGGACCGAGAACTTCGTCGACCTTGCCGATAGGAGTCTGATGAAGAGGGTTAGTCACTAAGTTTTTGCGACAGGAGGTGGAATGCGAGTCTATGTCGTACTTTGTTCTCGAGGTAGATAGGGGCGTTGAAGTAAGGAATCTTGGGATTCACTGATTCGCAAACCATCTCGCCCTCGCAAGCGTGCATGACAGTTCCCATCTCTGCCAAAAAATCAGTCATCCATCATCAACCCCAAATGCACTCGCAACTGTATAATTACCCAGAACCTGTGCTGGCGGTCCAGTTTGTGCTTGGAATCCTCCGCGGCCTGTCCGACGAAAATTTCGTTAGCGACCACCAATCCTCAACTTTGGCACTATTCGAACTCACCACCGCGTCCACCAAAATTTCCACCACGGTTGGCGCCTGAGGCGAAACCGCCACGGCCACCTCCACGAAACGACATCTTGATTGTGGTGTTGTGATTGATGGAGCTGTCTGGAGTTCGGAGTCCGGAGAAGTTTTCAAATGGTGGGAGCCTCGAAACGGTAAAGTGTCGCTAGCCGCCAGGGCAGTTTAATGTCACGTGCTTCACCGCCTTCCTCCCCCTCATCGTTTCGAATTATTATGACTCTTCGCATACGCCGAAGAAGAGTCATCGTTCTGAGCCTGCTCCCCTCTTATTCTGCGCGTCTCCCGAACCGCTGGTCTGAACTTGCGGATACAGCCATGGCTTTTGAAGACTCGAAAGAATTGCCACTGCGGCCTGCAGAGGCCCAGGACGCCAATGCCACTGCCCCGCCGAAGGCTGCGAAAGCTAATGCGGCCTCGAATACCGACTCTCTCCCCGATTTCATAATTGAACGGAACAAGCTATTTGAAGAATTGTGGCAACAGTATCTTGAAGAGCTCAAGAACAAGCCTCACCCGGAAATCAATGTCCTTCTCGATCTCGGCGACGGAAGCCCCTCTCCTGTCCCCGCCAGGGCCTGGGAGACCACACCCGGATCGTTTTTGAGAGACGTCCCCAAGGATATCAGCGCCAACGTCGTCCTCGCGAAAATCGATGGCAAGGAACTTTGGGATCTGAACCGCCCTCTGGAGCGCGACTGCACCGTATCTTATGTTCCGTTCGACAGCCCCGAAGGTCGGGAAGTTTTCTGGCATTCGAGCGCGCACTGCCTAGGTGAGGCATGCGAGTGCGAATATGGATGCCTACTCTCTCACGGACCTCCCACTCCTCAAGGTTTCTTCTACGACATGGCCATGCCTGACAAGTCAGTTTGCCATTCCTACATTTCCTTACGTGTGCCTTGTGATGGAATAAGAGTCTGACTCTAAAGAATAGCCGTGTTGTACGAGAGGGTGACTGGCCGGCCTTGGATAGCAGAGCGTCGCGAATCTTCAAGGAAAAGCAAAGCTTCGACCGGTTGGAGGTCACGAAGGAAAACCTCAAGAAAATGTTCGCCTACAGCAAATATAAATTGCACTACATTGACAAGCTTGTGACCGGAGAAAAGAGTACGGTTTATAGATGCGGTACCCTGGTCGACCTTTGCAGAGGTCCTCACATCCAGAACACCGGAAAGATCAAGACCTTCAAGATTATGCAGGTATGAGCACCATCCTGCGGAAGCCGTTTTGCCAAGTCCATCGCTGATTGCTATGTCCAGAACTCTTCCGCATATTTCCTCGGTGATCAGACTAACGACTCTCTGCAACGTATTCGTGGTGTTGCTTTCCCCGATAAGAAGCAGATGCAGGAACATCTGAAGTTCTTGGAGGAGGCAGAGAAGCGCAATCATTTGAGAATTGGCAAGGACCAGGAACTTTTCTTTTTCGATGAAGTTTCTCCAGGCTGTCCTTTCCTCCTCCCCAACGGAACTAAGATTTTTAATGCTCTCCAGGCTCTTCTGCGGTCTGAGTACCGCAAGCGCGGCTACCAGGAGGTTCAGACTCCCAACATGTACGACGTCGGCATTTGGAAGACGTCTGGTCACTGGGCGCATTACAAGGATGATATGTTCAAGCTTGATGTGGAGAAGAGAGAATGGGCTCTTAAGCCAATGAACTGCCCGGGCCATTTCGTGCTCTTCGGCCACCGCGAGAGGAGTTACAGAGAACTGCCGCTGAGAATTGCGGACTTTGGTGTTCTGCACCGTAACGAAGCATCCGGTGCATTGAGCGGATTGACCCGTGTGCGGAAGTTCCAGCAAGACGATACCCACATCTTCTGTACCCAGGATCAGGTGAGGAGGGATCTTACGCCATCTTTTATGTCTTATTGTCAACTAACTCCTCACAGATTTCCTCCGAGATCGAGGGTCTCTTTGATTTCCTCCAGTCCATCTACGGACTGTTCGGCTTTACATTCAAGCTGAAGCTTTCCACTCGCCCAGAGAAGTATCTCGGTGACCTCGAGACCTGGAACTATGCCGAGGAGCAGCTCAAGTCTGCGATGACCAAGTTCAAGGGTAAAGACTGGTCGATTGACGAAGGCGATGGTGCATTCTATGGTCCTAAGATCGACATCACCATTGCTGATGCTCTCAAGAGAGAGTTCCAATGTGCTACTATCCAGCTGGACTACCAGGCGCCAATCAACTTCAAGCTCGAGTACATGACCAACGAGAAGGGCCAGGCTGTTATGGAAGAGTCGAAGAAGGAAGGCGAGACCAAGTCCAACGAACCTGGTCCAGGTCGGGCGCGCCCCGTCGTCATCCACCGAGCTATCATTGGTAGCTTTGAGCGTTTCTTGGGTATCTTGATTGAGCACTTTGGCGGCAAGTGGCCGTTCTGGATCAGCCCTCGTCAGATCCTGATTGTCCCGGTCATGCCTGCTGTGAACGACTACGTTGAGGAGCTGCAGCAAATCCTGCGTGGCGATAAATTGAATGTGGACATTGACATTAGTGGTAACACTATGCAGAAGAAGATCCGTACTGGTCAGCTGGCGCAGTACAACTTCATCTTTGGTAAGTCTTATCGCGAACCCTGATCTTTTACCTGGATGGTATTGACTTTGGGTAGTCGTGGGCGCTCAAGAAAAGGAGTCTCGCTCTGTCAACATCCGTAACCGTGACGACCCTGCTACACAGAACAAGGGCGTCATGGTCCCTCTTGAAGAGGCTCGCCAGAAGCTGCGGGCTCTGAGAAAGGAGCGCAGACTGGTGAATGCTCTGTAGAGCGATCCGACACTGGCATCTAGCGTTTATTGGGTGGCGTATCTCGAGGGCCGCTATTTTTGCGGCCAGCGGTCTCGCGTAGAAGTTTATGACTTATGAAGGCATTGATTTGCCTCTCTCACAGAAAAGTAGATCTGGAGTATTTAGCGATGAAGACACGAAAAGAGTTCTGATCTAGAAATCATGGGAGTTGTCTGATTCTGTATTATGGATAATCTACCTACCCTGCTTTAAATGCATGGAAGCTCACGTTCCCTATTTAGTGGGTGAACAATCCAACGCTTACCGAATTCTGCTTCGGTATGATAGGAAGAGCCGASATCGAAGGATCAAAAAGCAACGTCGCTATGAATGCTTGGCTAGCAACCTGAATCGCTACATACCAACTGGTGGTCCCACCGTGAGTATGGTGGCCCACGCCTATGAAATTTCGATCACCCCTTAATCAAAGTGGTGATAGTGACTGGTCAGTCTGGTCAATGGTGGTCGCCATCAACGACTTCAGGTTGTACTTGCCAAGATCATCTTTGGGGTTGGCAAGGGGGAATTCGCCCGATTTCCCTTCTACAAGAGGGGGAGATGCAGGCCACTATTTTTGCGCTTCTTTTCCAGCGAGTCCTGACTTCGCTGCAAGCAGGCGATATCTAACACGAACAGTCATGCTTGAATCATCATGCAGCAACTTCATCATTCGTTTCGTCAATTGCGACATGCATCCCCACTGAAACTTTTTGCCCTCGCTGCCGCCTTTATCTTGGTGTCCGCCTCCCTCGTGTTCTACTCCAGACCTGCCAGTCCCTCTGATATTGACCTCGTCTCCTCGCTACCCTCCAGCAACAACAACATAGAAAACAAAGGAACTTGCTATGTCGACCTCGACCTCTTGAGATCTCACGGGTACAATTCCTCTGCGAAATACGCACGGCTCGAGATAGCCGTGAGGCGAACAGGAAACTTTACGGGATTCTCCGACACCTTGCCCACCCGTTTCCCTGCTTATCAGAAGATACGTTTGGACACAGTCGAGCAACAAGCACCGCTGTCGCCGAAGATATGCTCTCCCGCAGTGACAATTCAAGCTCCGTTACCGGTCGCACCACCCAACGCGTCCCACATTCTGTTCGGCGTCGCGACAACACTGGAAAGACTGGATGATTCCCTGCCTGCATTCGCACACTGGGCGGCAGGAACGGACGCTCGGATATATGCTCTGGTGGACTCCGAGGTAGGCTCGGAAATAAGAAGGGTGCAGCAACGAGCCAAAGAATTGGATATCCGTTTGACTATAATTCAATCGGATGATGACCGATTGGATCAGTACTTCTCTCTACTCCGCGTTCTGCTCAAGCACCGCGATGCATATACGCGGTGGGCTGTCTTGATTGACGATGACACCTTCTTCCCTTCTATGCGGAATCTGGTGGACAGACTCGCAACCTACGATGCGACGAAGCCACAGTATGTCGGGGCTCTGACAGAGGATCTCGCACAGATGTTCAGTTGGAGTTATATGGCCTTCGGAGGTGCTGGGATCTTCCTCTCAATACCACTCCTTGAGCAACTCGACAAGGTGTATGATGATTGCAACAGCATCAAAACCACCGGCGACCGAAGAGTCGCCAGGTGTATCTACACCAATACACACACAAAACTCACCTGGGACCGCGACCTGTATCAGCTGGATCTCTGCGGGGATGCTTCTGGTTTCTACGAGTCCGGTCGCCCGCTGCCGCTGTCGGTCCATCACTGGAAATCATGGTTCCAGGCAGATATGGTTGGGCTCGGTCAGGTTGCGGCCATCTGCGGCGACGCTTGTCAGCTGCATCGTTGGCGCTTGAAGGACGACTGGTTCCTCGTGAACGGGTTCTCTATGATCAAGTATACTTCACCCGGGAGTGTGGATCTGATGGAGAAGACCTGGGAGGATAGTAAATACAGAGGCGGGGACGGCTTCGCGTTCAGTCTGGGTCCATTTCGCCAAAAAGATGAGGGTAAAGTGTCCTTTCGCTTGCAGAACGCAACCCAGCAGGCAGAGTCTGTTCGACAGGTCTATATCCACGACGTGGGGCCTGAGCAGCCTCCTGAAGTACTGGAAGTAGTCTGGAAACCTGCATCTGGGTGACGTTGCCTTCTGTCCAAGTTCTTCACAAAAATTCCTTGGACGACTTGTCGGTACAGAATACTCTGAGAGATTATTTAGCATTGAAGTCGAAGTCATACTCGTTCTTTGTTCCGATGCGACTTAGCAATGGCGGAGTTCCTGATTTTCTTTGTCCCTCGCTATGTAGCGAATAATAAACTCTCGAATTGAGTTTGCCTTTTGTCTGTTCTAGACTTCAAGCCATATGACCAGGCTTGTCAGCGCTGTGATTCCTGGCTACCCTAGCTTCAAGAGCAGAGTAGCCATTCATTATGGATTATGGAGCCTTGGGAATCCCCACCACAGCCCCTCTCCTGTCTCGGACGCGCCTCAGGCATCTATCCCTTTGTTCTCGATCTCACCTTTCGTCTTTGACATCGAGTCTTTTTTTGTAGCATGGACTCGCCGTAAATGCAGGTTTTTTTTTTCATTTTCCTTTGTATAATTTTTATCATGATTTAGGATCATCTTGATGGAGTCTCCTTCCTTTTCTCTACGACTGCGGCGGAGCACTGTGATTATTATTGATTAAGTTGTATGCACGTCTCGGCGCTCCAGCAGTTGTAGGCCCCACCAATCATTCCTTAATTAACTCCCCCGTCACATCCCCAACTGCGCAGCTTCACATCAAAACACATTCTATTTCTCCTTTTCCCCCTCCCTGCTCTCTTCCTTTTCCTCCTTCCCTACCCCTCATTCTCCTTTTGAACACTTTTCGTTTATTGTTTTGTTCTCATTCCATCGCTCCGCCGAGGTTTCGATCTGTCACTGCGGCTGCACCTTGTACTGCGGGGCTCGAACTACTGACAGCTCCCTTTCCACCAAGTCTGTCTCAGTTGCACCGGATCTCTTTCCTCCTTAAATTCATCCAGAAATTTGAGCTCTGACTTTTGCTCCATTGAGATACCCGCTTCGTCTTCACTCTTCTTCACTCTCGTTGGCACAGAAACATTGCGATTCGAATTCAACTTCGGCCACATACGACACCCTCTGTCGATTCCCCGCCCCGACTTTTCTCGTCGACCATAAGCCGGTCGCTCCAGGATAAAAAAAAAAGCTGTCGGATTTGAGCCATGTCTGATCTACAAGGTCGGAAGGTCTTCAAGGTCTTCAACCAAGACTTTATCGTGGATGAACGGTACAATGTGACCAAGGAGCTGGGCCAGGGTGCATACGGTATCGTTTGGTAGGTTGTCTGCATTCTCAAGCGGTTATCTGTTTCTGCATCAAGCTCGAGAGGGTTGTAGGGCAGAAAAGAAGTGACGCCAGAAGGGGTGGTGAAGCGGCCATGGATCTACGATTGAATCAAGTACTGACGACATTCATTTGACTGTAGTGCTGCCACGAATGTTCATACTGGTGACGGCGTCGCCATCAAGAAGGTTACCAATGTCTTCAGCAAGAAAATCCTGGCCAAGCGGGCATTGAGAGAGATTAAGCTTCTGCAGCACTTCCGAGGCCACCGCAACGTACGCCAATTGCTTGTTTTTGCTCGTAAGATCGGCAGGGCTGATCGGAACTGCAGATAACCTGTCTATACGACATGGACATTCCACGACCGGACAATTTTAACGAAACCTATCTATACGAGGGTGAGTGCCACGACCACTATGGTGCATCAGCAACCACTGATTGATTTCATGCAGAATTGATGGAATGTGATCTGGCCGCCATCATCCGTTCGGGACAGCCCCTAACCGACGCACACTTTCAATCCTTCATCTACCAGATTTTGTGTGGACTCAAGTATATCCATTCCGCCAATGTCTTGCACCGAGATCTGAAGCCAGGTAACTTGCTGGTCAACGCGGACTGCGAGCTCAAGATCTGCGATTTCGGTCTAGCCCGTGGTTTTTCGATCGACCCCGAGGAGAACGCCGGCTATATGACCGAATATGTTGCGACCCGGTGGTACCGTGCCCCTGAGATTATGCTGAGCTTCCAGAGCTACACCAAAGCTAGTATGTCGTAACTCATTTCCGTTGCGATTAGACCGCCGGTATGCTGACGATCATAGTCGACGTGTGGTCTGTAGGATGCATCCTGGCCGAGCTGCTCGGCGGCCGTCCTTTCTTCAAAGGCCGGGACTACGTCGACCAGCTCAACCAGATCCTCCACTACCTGGGTACTCCCAACGAGGAGACTCTCAGCCGCATTGGATCTCCTCGTGCCCAGGAATATGTCCGCAACCTGCCGTTCATGCCCAAGATCCCTTTCCAGCGCTTGTTCCCCAACGCCAACCCCGACGCACTCGATCTGCTGGATCGTATGCTGGCCTTTGATCCGGCGTCGCGTATTTCCGTTGAGGAAGCGCTGGAGCACCCATACCTGCACATCTGGCACGACGCCTCTGACGAGCCCACCTGCCCAACGACATTCGACTTCCACTTCGAAGTCGTCGACGACGTGCAGGAGATGCGCAAGATGATCTACGACGAAGTGGTGCGCTTCCGCAACGTGGTCCGGCAGCAGTCCCAGGCGCAGGCCGCCGCTGCCGCGCAACAGCAGCAGCAGCAGATCGCTCAACAGACCAATGTTCCCATCCCTGACCACCAACAGGGAGGCTGGAAGCAGGAGGAGCCCAAGCCTCAGGAGGTGCACGCCGCGGGCGGCCACGCGAACGATCTGGAATCGTCATTGCAGCGGGGGATGGATGTCCAATAGACGTTTACTGTCGTTGGAGGATGTCTCGGTCGTGTCGATTGTTGCATTGTTCATAAACTTAGTATATTATCACTTCATCTATACCTCTTGTTTAAGCACTACCACTGGACATCGCCTAGCAGAACATTGTAGCCGTCCTGGTCGGGATGAAACTCAATCTATATCCATACGCTAAGGCAATGCTAATGCAGATGCATGACCAGACATTGTCTCCAAACTCGAAAGTCCAGCTCAAGCTCACGTAAATACATGCACTAACCCATCAATTCAACTCTATAAACAAAACAAATCCATCAATCATTATCATCCAAATCGTGTAAAATCAAGTACCTCCCTTTGCATACCCGCCCATCCTATCCTATCCTACCTCCCTTTGCATACCCGCCCATCCTATCCTATCCTACCTATCTTCAATATATGGCAGTAGCATATAGACTATATATCCAAAACGTATGGAGCACGCAAAGCAAAACCAAAGAAGGCTAAAGCTAACGTTAATGATAATACCCCCTCCACCAAACAGCCATACAAGCCGCAACCACCAAATCCAACATCTTGATCCCCTCGTCTTCGACGATCAGTTTACCTAGTTTGGCGCTCTTGCCGCGCAGGCCGCCGCCTGCTGGTTCGCGTGCGAGCGAGAAGTCGAGACGGTCGGGATCGTCAGCGCCGCCGCCGCCGCCGCCGCTGCTGGTGCTGCTTGAGGAGGGGTGGCGGGTGTGTCTTTGTCTTTGTTTGTGTGCGTGTGCGTGACCGTGTCCGGGTACGCCTGAGACGGAGGAGGCGCTGGTGCTGGAGTGGGAGCGGGGTCTGGTGTAGGTTGTTGGGTTGAGGAGGTGGGCGAGGGAGTTACGTTTTGAGGTGGGGTGTGCGTGTCCGTTTGGGTGGGATGTTTGGCTCGGGGAGGAGGAGTAGCCTGGGGTGTCGGAGGAGGTCTGGCTGAGGGTGAAGGGGGAGATGTGGGCGGAGTTGGACGGGTGGTGGTGGTGGTGGCCGGCTTGGAAGGGGGTGTTGAAGCGGATTTCTGCGACGGTCACGGCTGGAGCGCTGGGGGTGGATGGGTTCGTTCCATTTCCTGGGTGTGAGGGCGTGGGGATCATGTGCTTGCATTTGAGGCTGCGGCCGTTGACGCTGGTGGAGAAGGTGCAGATGCCGTTCCAGGGGGAGGTGAAGGTGTAGTAGCCGCTTTTCAGCTTGGAGTGGGCTTGCGGGTGTGGTCGGCTCGGACTGCCAGTGAAGGTGTCCAGTGAGGCTCTGTTGGGAGGCATATCTAGGGATCCTCGCGAGTCGTCCCGGTGGTGATGTGGCCGCGATACGCAGAGCTGGCGGCGGAATTTGCGTGGTAGGGACGGGTCCAGGGACCGTGTTTCAGGGTGCGATTGTGTGGGTAATTTGAATGTGGACGAGAGCAGAGACTGTGCATCTGACGGGAGGTTTATGCCCAGACTCTGCAGGGAAAAAGGCTCATCCTGGGCTAGGAACCGGTTGTACCCCGGTGTCGACACCTCTATGTCGACCGCGGTGCTGTCCGTCTTGGACGTGGAGATGGTCGCAACATTCCATTGACTGCCGTGAGTGGGATCGCGGCGAATGAGAGTGATATGGAATCCCTGTCGGTCTGCGGCCTGGCCGCGGTCGCGCGGCCCTCTGTGAGGAGACTGCCCTGGGCTCCTTGACGGCGATGCTCGGCGAGCGTTCGATCCTGCCCCGTCAGACGTATGCGGTCGTAGTTCGGGCCGACTGGTATCCAGGCTAAGACGTCCTGCGGACAAGGCTTCGTACTTTTCCTTCCAGCTGTCCAGTCCTTTACTATTGAGATACCCCGACAGGGCGCTCCATCGATGACTCTTCTTCGCCGGACTGTTGTTGATCGGGTCTGAAGGAGCTTCCTCTGTTGGCACAAATGACAGAGGCCGACGCGGTAATGGGGGTGCTCTAGTCTCTCCTGTATCTCCACGCGAGTCGCCGGGGTGTTGGTCGTAGGTATCCGAAGCAGCGGTAGCTGACATTGAACTGGGAAAGCCTTGACGAAGCGTCGGACGGGGCGGGGTTGGCGGAGGCGGAGAGTCGACAGTAGCAATGTTCGGCGAGTAATTCTCCTGCTGCAACGGTCTTTGTGGAAGAGGACCCCCAGGGACAGGCTTTCGCCGGACATTGTTCAATCGCGCAAACTCCGGCGGTGCTCCATCGCTGCATTGTTCCTTGTGTAGTTTCGCCTGTTGTTCCCGCTCCTCCTCGACCTTCTGCAGCAGGATCTCGTCCTCTGGCGTCGCAACATGAAGGTAGTAAAGGGAGGCGTTGATGGCTTCTGCGGAGATGCTTGATTTGGTCGGAGGCTTCAATGGCGAGAGAAATACATCTGTACGAGTCAGAGCTGTCCGTCTTCCTCAAATGCAGTAGGCTTGAATGAGTGGCGCGGGGCAGCTCCACAGGAGATACCTTTGCTTCCCGGTACGCGCACAAGATAGAGCACGAGAGGATCTAGCTTCTTCTGCGTCGGATTCCGAGGATAGGCAGGTGGGTTTGAGGCGATGGTAGTGATGGCCGAGAGCGAACGAGCCTCGACTGGAGCCTGAGGGATATTGGGATGGAGCGAGGCGGGGGAGGATGCAGAAGCTGCATCAGCCGCACCGTCGACCGTGGCCATTGAATTGACTATTAACAGTCGCAGTGGCAGGTAGATGGACGGAGCGCACAGAACGAGCCGTATTGGACGCCTGAAAGGATCTTGGGAGGGCTGTTCCTGGGCAAAACAAACAATGGCGGAGAGGTCGGGAGGATTGGGCCGTCTCGGAGAACCCGCCAAGAGATGATTAAATATCAGCGACGACCTGCATGGATTGCAGTAGATCGAGAAGAGATGATTCCCTGTCAAGTAGAGAGGGATCTAGAAAATAACAAGGGTCGTAAAGACACGTTTTTGGCTAGAGTACACGTAAGTGAGCGGCAAATCTACGAAAATCGCTGCCTGGAGTACGACTGCAGATCGATGGACCCAATGGCAGAAGCCAAATTCCATCGAATTGGTATCTCGAAACAAAAATAGCTACAAAGAAACTATGCCCGTGGATGAATCCATAATTACCGAATGAGACGTGAATAAAAATGAAGGAGAGAAAGCCAGAGTCCCATTGCCCGACCAGATAAACCAAGGATATCAGATATGAACTCCAATGCGTCCGCTGAATGATCCGCTGTTCTGTACCTATTCGACGATTGAATAGCTGTCCTATACAACCGTTTCGGACCGTTCGCCTTCCGCGATGATCGGAACGCTGAGACCACGCTCGGGGCTTTGTAGTACTAGTTGCTCATGCCGCCGGGCCCGTAAGAAGTCGCTGATGGCGCGTATCAGAATGAACCAGCCGACAATCATCAAGACATACGAAATCCACTCGCTTGTCGTGATATCGGATATCGCACCGCCTCCGCCGTTGCCACCGGAACCATCAGACACAGAAGTTGGATCAAAGCTGTGGCTGTTGGGATCCGGGGGAGGAACATAGTCTGCACCACCATCACCTGATCCCCCATCACTCCCCCCTTTCATGTAGAAACCATACTGCACTAATGTGAGGCCGAGACCAGCTCTGCTGCCGTTCTTCGCGGCGTGTGTGGTGTGAAGGAGGTAGGTCAGGAGGAAGCCGACCAGCTGGAAGGACATGGAGATCATGGCGTTCCAAACAAAGGAGAAGATCGAGCCGACGGGCAGCCCATCCACATAAACCTCGTCGGACGAGATGCCGGGAGCCAGGATGGTGGTCTCCCAGTACGGGGGGGTGGCGTCTGCAGCTGCTTCTTCGTAGGACTATAGACGTCAGTACCCTGAATATCACTCTCAGATAGTATGCTTACCGGAGGTAGATCCTCGTTCTTCTCTCCCCGTTCTGGCTTGGCCGCCAGGTTGGCAAAGACTCCGTCATTTGACGAACTGATCACGCGACCTGCGCCTGACGAGGGTGTGCTGAAGCTGGGCAGTATTGTTGGTCGCCTCTGAAGAGTTGAGCCTGACTGGTTACTCTGTGACGATGGTTCGTTGTTGGCGGCAGACGAAGGAGCAGTCTCTCCGCCACTGCCCGCTGACGGCTCCGGATGGGCCCGCATCAGTCGCTGTCGGTCATCGGGTTCGTCATCTGCCTCGGAATCGCTGGCGTCACCAAAGGCGTCGGCGAGAGTCTGGTCCGCATCGCTTCGATGGGGATCATTCTGGAGAAGTCTTCTCGATGAGAAGGAAGAGGAACGAGAGTGGAACGAGGGCGGCGGAGAGGAGGGTGTAGGGGTGGTTTGCAGAGGAATCGACGAATGAGAGTCAACTTCGTCGTCCTCGTCATAGGCACTAACCTGGAAGTAGTCAATATCCTGAGGGGATCGATCTAAACCACTTGCATATAGAAAGAGTCCTGCCTACCCTTTGATAACGCTGCGAGCTCATGACGAGCTGAGCAGGTGCACGTAGAGGGCACTCGGGATGCGACAAAAGAAACGACAACGGTGAGATACGAGAAAAAAGACAGAAAGAAGCAGATGAAAGAATGTTCAAGAGATGCAGGAAACAATCGATACGACAGTTGTGGAGGCGTTGACTTAGGATGAGGATGGAAGGGGATCGACCGCTGTCTCCGTAATCTCCTCACTAATCAGGCAGACAGCGGTGGCGGTGACTGGACCGCAGTGTGGCTGATGTGGTTAATGTGGCTGAAATTGCGGCCTGGAATCTGGGGCATCTCCGATTTTCCGATATCCCGATATCATCGATCCATCATCTGCTTTGTCGAAGCTCAACAGCAGAACCACAGCTCTATCGCCTTACCTTTGATCCTTGATCCGTCCCTCGGAGTATTGTGGGCTAGATCTATCTGTCCTTGCATTACCAAAGACAAAGACACATCAGTATCTCACCATGAGCAAACCAGTGAGTCCACTCCACACCAACTGTTTAAAGACCATCACTAACAGCTGCAGACTCTGAACCCCCAGACAATACAAAACCGCATCTCTCATCTCCTCAAACACTGGCCTACCGACCCCGTCCGCCCTGCCTCCGTCTCCATCCAAACCTACCTCCAATCCCGCCTCCAACCCACACAACCGCAACAAGCGCAGCCCCAACAAGTACAGCCATCCAAGGTAGAAATCTCAGAGGCCTCGCTCAATGCCCTCTCGTCATTACTGGAAGACCGCTACGCGAGACGGTATCCGTTACCGCCGAAGCTGCGGCGGCCGGCGACGAACCCAGACCACTACGACAATGTAGTCAAGGAGTTTGAGGAGGCGCCGGGGCGGGATTTCTGGGGGAGAGTGGGAAAAAGGCTTCGGGGGTTGTTTAGATTTACGTGATGGTGGAGTTATGGTGTATGATAAGTGTATGTATATAGCTGTTGTCATTGTACTATTAAAAAGTTGATTAACTTTGATAATTGAGCTGCAGAAGGTAATGATCTAGAAGATAGCACTTCTCTTGGATGGTTACTTTGATATATAGTTGATGACTACGAGACATTGCCGGATATAACAGTATTCCTGCCATCTTGATCAAATATACAGCTTGGATGAGTTAGCTTCTTGCATCTATGCTCTATGCTCTATGTCTCTTTTGAACAACCTCGACCTGCATACTCAAACAGGTTAACAAATGCTGCGCTACGACCAGACCTCTAATTCTCCTCCACCAAACAATACATACTTCTACTAACGATTTGTGTCCAAGAATCGGCAGAAAAGCATCAGCTCAAGATTGTCTCCGCACATTGGGGTCATGACATGGCAGAAACCTTTCTATACGAGGTGGACAACCTCCAATTCGACAGGTCTCAAACACCCTGAAACGCGACCAACAGCATTGATTCTGACAATCAGTGGCCGAGGGCAGCTGTCAGCTGTTCAATACATACTTTACGTCGTGATGTCGGACCAAAGACATATGAAGATATATATATTCACATCTATCCGCATCCACCATAACCACCATCAGTAAATCAAACACAATGCATCTCTCCAACCTGGCAACCATCCTCTTCCTCACCCTCGCAGCAGGTATTTTTCAACAGTCATAATCCAACAAAGACAATACTAACGAAGATAGCATCCCCCGGCTGCCCCAACAACCTCTGCGGCGACAAACCCTGTCCCTCCCCAAGCACCTGCACAACCTACACCCGCACCTCCCCCTCCTCAACCCTAACAACCTGCATTCCCGCCCCAACCTGTCTAGGCGTTTACCGTAGTATCCCAAGCCATGCATACGAATTGCTAGCCCTGCTGACAGGTGACTTAGAATCCTGCTCCTTCGGTACCGGCCTCACCTGCTGCTCCGGGTACTGCGCCGCCACGAAATGCCGGCCCACGAATCCCAAGTGGCCAGCCTGTGCGGAGGATTTCCAGTTGTGTGCTGCGGATGCGGACTGTTGCTATAGTGGGAGTAAGTGTGTGGAGGGGATTTGTCGGAGGGTTTAATTTATCCTGGGGACTGGTTTACGCTTGTGGTTATGGTTATGGAATGATTATGGTTATGGTTGAATGGTATGCATATGAATATAATGAATTGACTGTGTTATGTAAAAAGCAAACTTGCTACTATCTCATATTCGTCTCTCGTTCTCGTGACTGTCTCGTACTGTCTAGCAGTTGAGGTTCACAGCTGTGTCGCGTTAGTTTAGGAAGCTTAAGAGGCAAAGGTGGATGAAGGGGGGGAGGTACCGTTAGCAAACAGGGCGTAGGTATCCGCATTGTTCAGCGCCTGGCTGGCACTCAAGGCGGTGGAAGCACTGTATCCATAGGCGTTGTCCTCCGTGCCGGGCGAGTAGACGGCCGGGGCATGGGTGAACTCATGCAGGGTAGTCGTGGCCTGGTCCTGGGCGTGGCAGGAGCCGGCCAGGGCAGGGAGGTTGGAGTAGTAGATGTCGCAGTTGGCGATGATGTTGTTGGAGGGGAGAGTATAGGCGAGGGTGTTGGAGTCGCAGTAGCCGTAGGGGTCGCTGCAATAGTAGGTAGTCCCGCCGGAGGACTGGGAGGAGGCCTCGCTGGCGACGGCGCGCAAGCGTGCGGCGACGGTGTTGCGGGTGCTGCTGGAGGTGGTCTTGAAGTACTCCTGGAAACGGGCGGAGGAGCCCGAGGAGGCGGCGCTGGCAGCGGCGTTGGCGAGGGAGGCGGCGTTGCGCAGGGCAGTGGTGAGGGCTGAGGCGCGGCTGCCGGAGCAGGAGGTGACCTTGGTGCGGCGCTCAAGCTCAATGAGCTTGATGGCCTGGGGCACGGCGGCGGCCTTTGCGGCGTCGACCTCGATCTCGAGCTCGTTCGACCGGTAGGGGATGTAGCCCGAGACCTTCTTGTCTTTGGTGATGGGGACGACACCGTCAGTGCGGATGGTCACGGGGCCGCCCTGGCTGAGGTCGGCGGTGCTGGCGATGTCGAACTCGTCCTCGAAGGTGCCGCCGGCCGGGAGGGTTGTCACGGCATCGTCAGTGAGGCCTTGAGTGAGGACGCGCCGCTTGATTCCGGTGAAGTCGACCTCGGTGGCTGTACTCGTTAGTATGGCTTTGTCTCAGGGGCAGTCTGGGAGGAGCATACCATTGCGGAAGAGCGAGACCTTCTTGACAGGAGCAGCATCCTGGAAGAAGTTGAGATGCACAAAGGTGACCTCCTCGCTGCCAGTGTTCTTGACAGTGGCTTTGATGCGGGTGTTGTCGACCTGGGTCAGGGTGACATCGAGGGTTGGGGCGTTGGCAGGAAGAGCCAGAGCGCCATTGATGAGGGCCAGAATGGCAGAAGCGAGAATAGTGACCTTCATGATGATTGAATTGGATTGAGATGCTGTTCTGTGCTATGCTGATGCTGATGCTTCTGTCAGTCCTGGGATCATCCTCATATTTATAGACGCCTGCCACTGATGACTGAAGCATCGATATCACGGACAAGTCTTGGAATCGAACGGAGATATGTCCAAAACAGGACGTTACATCTATCCCGTCTGCAACTCTCGACTTGTCAGGCTGATAAGACCCCGGTTGTCTGAAGACCTCCATGGCGCATGGCGTTTTACAAGCCGACGGAACTACGCCACAAGGCTTTTTGAAGCATCACCATCGCGGCCAAGTGAAATCGCCAAGAGTATGCTTGGCCCGCCGGAGGACCGTCTGTTCAGGCGGATGAGATCCATGTCTGCATGAGGTATATCAGCGTTGGGACTCTTGATTGGAACGCCAAGAGGGGTGGTCTGGCCTGTAAATGATGAAGAAGTTCAAGCGGCGGTCCGTATGCCTGAAGAGGAATGTCGGTGTCGAGATAGTCTGTCTGCAGAATGTATCTTCATTCATTAGGTCAACGATCAGCATGATTCCGGCTGTGATCGTATCAGCATCGTTATTGTGGTTGTTGACTTCAACATACTGATTGACAGTGATCATGATGTGTCTAGACTCGGACCCTGAGTTGCCCCTGAAATTAGTGAAACGAGTAGATTCACGGGCCCAAGATTGTCAGAGAAATCCGGGACTGACTCGAATCATTGACTGAAAGAGACAGTGGCATAGATTAAAGTGCCGATCATCACCACTTTATCAATCCTTAATATCCGGCTGATACGGAAGGAATGCAACCCAAGACTTTCTGTCTCACACCTCGCCTCTTTCATTGCCACTTATTTTCCTGCTTAAAGCTTGGCAGTTTTGGCAGTGTATATAATTGGTGGATTGCATATCTTCATGCAAATCTTGGGGTTTCATCACATCTCCTCATACCCTCATCGCCTCATACCCCTCCACGGCTTCTCCGGCTTCACTCCGGTCACTTTCAGCCAGACAGCTCATCATTTACGATTCTTCTCAACTGACAACTGACAACTGACGAGATCAAGACGACTAACGACGACGACGACATGGCAAACCTCCAAGTAATCCTCTCCCCCGTCCCTCCCTCCGCCACTCCCCCCATCAGCCTCCCCATCAACATCGCCATCCACAACCCAGCAACCACCCCAGTGACCTTCCTCAACTGGGGCACCCCGTTCGACCCCAAAGCCAACCTCCTGGGCGTCTTCCAGATCAATGACACCACCACTGATCATCCCATCACCCTCGACACCATCAAATTCAACCGCCAGCTGCCTCCCTCGCGGGACGACCTAGTCGAGATCCCCGCCGAGAGCTCCATGGAGCGCACGATCACCATCCCGCATGTGCCTCTAGAAGAAGGACACGATTACGCCGTGCAGGCAAAGGGCATCTGGCATGGGATCTGGGAGTGTCCCCGGGACCAAGTGACGGATTCGCAGCTGGAGCAGCTTGATCAAAGGGGGGAGTTTGAGTCTGAGCGTGCGCTGTTCAAAGTTACGCAGTAGTTGCCAGCATCTGTACCTTGTACAGAATACGGATTAGTTAATCGATGTGTTAATGACGTTGACGTTGTACAGTGTAACTTGGCCAGTATTTAACCTCCTCCGCTGCGCTGTAGTATGCTCATATCCTTCTATACCCCAAGGCAGTCATAGTGCAATAGCGAAGCAAAGAAATGGTTGCTTATATTGATATCCCCACCGACGCAGCCCGCGTCTTCACCGTCCTCTCAGCAGGCGGGATAGGCATCATCCCCTCGAGCGTCGGCTACGGGATCGTAGCCACGGAGGCTCCCGCACTGCAGCGCATCTACACCGTCAAACGACGCCAGCCGCATAAGCGCCACGCTATCATAGGCAGCTACGCCCTGCACCGCGAGATCCATGTCCTCCCGTCTGATAAAATGGATCTCGTGCGCCTGCTGACCGTGGATCTCAACCTCCCGCTTGGTGTGATTGCCCCGTATAGACGGAATCACCCGTTAATTGCGAGACTAGACGAAGAAACGCTAGCGGTGAGTTCGAGGCATGGCACGATGGCCATGCTTGTCAACGGAGGCCCGTTCCAGGAGGAGCTGGTACGGGTGGCTGCTGCAGCGGGGAGGGCGGTGCTAGGCTCGAGTGCGAATCTCACCGGGCAAGGGACGAAGACGGTGGTGGAGGATATTGAGCCAGAGATTCAAGAGGCAGCGGATATTGTGGTTGATTATGGACGGGTGAGGGATGGCTGGCCGCGGGCGAGCTCGACCATGGTGGATTTTGAGGCGATGCGGGTGGTGCGCGTTGGGGCTTGTTATGAGGTTATTCGCGATGTGGTTGCCAGGTTTGCTGGTGTGCGATGGCCGGATCCAAGCGTCAGATGAGGTTATTGTGTTGCTGGATGTAAGTGAGGGTTGCTCAGACACATCTTATATCTGCTACGCATCTGAAGCATTGCTATACGAGCATCGTATAACATCGTATATCAACCAATTACTACCTCCAATAACCAGACTAAACCACCCAAACCGCCGATCATGCAACCCCGGGTGCACTAATCTAACCCCGAATGGCTTCATTTAGCGAAGCCAGAGTATATATCAGCTTCCGGTCTACTCCTCAATCACCCTCCCATCATGCAAACCACCTCAAAATGAAATTCTCACTCCTCCTCAGCGCAGTCTGCACTGCAGCAGCTACTGCAACTACAACTACAACTGCAAAAGCAGCAACCCACGTAATCTACTCCTACCCTGGCCCCTCCCCCCCAGCAACCCTCCTCTCCCTCATCTCCACCGGCAGAGTAGGCGGCCTCATCCTCTTCGGCGAAAACATCGACGCCAATCTCACCACCACCATCGCCAACATCCAAAAAACCTACGCCTCGTCCCGAGACTACAATGGCACGCCCCTGCTAATTATGACCGACCAAGAAGGCGGCAAAGTCCGCCGGCTCCCTGGTGGCCCGACACTCTCCGCGAAGAAGGTGGGCGAGTCCCCGGATCCAGCGTCTACAGCTGCAGAAACAGGGACAGAAGCTGCGGACACACTTGCTAAATATGGAGTGAATGTGAATCTGGCACCCGTGCTGGGCGTGTATCGCTCGCCGGGGGACTTTCTAGATGAGTACGGCCGGTCGTATGGGAATACTTCCGGTTTGGTAGCTTCTTGCGCGGAAGCTTTCATCCGCAACCAGCAGGGCGATGGGGTGATTGCCACGGCGAAGCACTTTCCTGGTCTTGGGGCTGCGGGTGCAGACGAGAATACGGATCTCGTGCCAGTGTGCATTGACCTCGGGCTGGAGGAGTTGCGGCGGGTGGATGAGGCGCCGTATACGGCTGCGATTGCGGCGGGGGTGGAGATGGTCATGGCCTCGTGGGCGGTGTATCCTGCGCTGGAGAGCTGAGAGGGAGGCATGTGTTTAGGGGTGTGACCATTACTGATGCGATTGAGGCCGGGGCGTTGGGGGCGTATGGCGATGATGCGGCGAGGGGGGTGCTTGCTGCGCAGGCGGGGATGGATCTGATTCTTGCGTCGGCGAGGAATGTCTCGCAGGGGGAGGTGATTGTGGATGCGCTGACGAAGGCGCTGGAGAACGGGGAGGTGGATACGGAGGAGTTTGAGGCTGGCACGGCGCGAATCATGGCATTGAGACGGACTTTACATGTATAGACAGATTACCTAGGTCATGAGTACGTGTAGCAGTATTCTCCTCCCAATGGATCCATCAAGTCTGCCACCCTCTTCGAGGCCCCCAAGATCCCAAACTCCACGACCGTGCCGACCGTCACGTTCGGCGCCCACGGCGGATCAAACATCCACGCCGTCCCATTCAGCGCATACCGTCGCTTTCGATCTGCATTCTGCCACATCGCCCACACCCGATCCACCATCGCATGATGCAGAAAGAACGCCGGGTCCTGCACCGACGAAAACACATCCCCCATCGTCGGCCCGAGCGCAACATGCCCCGCGGCATGCGCGCCCAACCGGCCAGCGGTGCTCGGGTCCAGCACCCCCAGAAACTCCTGGATGGTTTGCGCAGCAAGCATGCGCTGCACGGCGTCGGAGCCGGCGAAGCGGTGCAGCGGACGAGCGTTGAAGCTGCGCATCAGACAGCGCGGGTTGTATCTGAAGGCGGAGGGGTCGAGCGGCTCGTAGAGCTCGTCCAGGCTGTGGAGGTTCAGCGGGCCCATGTTTGCTGGCCAGGCGGGGAAGGTGAAGGGTCCGGCTGTTACACAGCCGCCGCCGCTGCCTCGGCCGATACACCCTATCTGCTCGTCGCAGAGGATGCGCTCGTCTGGGTTGTAGGTGCCGTCGCCGGAGAGGGAGGTGGGGGAGTTGTCGAAGAGGGGGGAGACGGTGAGGTTGGGGTGTAGGGGCCAGTTCCAGTAGGGGATGGAGCCATTATAGGTGCATTCGGTGCGGAGGGCTGTCTCGAAGAGGTGCAGGAAGTGGCGGTGCCAGGGGAGGAAGAGGCCGTTGTTGTGGATGTGCGAGGTGTAGTTGATATGTGTCCTGTCTGTCATGAATCAATGCATGGGAGACAAGAGTATGGAACGTACGCTACAAAGTCGTCGAATCGATCCCGGACTCCGGGGTACTGGTCATTCGGGAGGATCGAGGGGAGGGACCGCAGACAGAACAGCGCATCGATGTAGTCTCGTCGTTCGAGGCGTGTCAAAGAGCTCCTATTCAATCAATACCGATCCTCTGCTGGCGACATCACATACCATTCTCGCCGGACTTGCGCATTGAGAAGCGTACAGCGCAGGGCAGGGGATGCAACCACGCCTATGACAAAAAGAAAAGCAAGAAGCATGATTGCTGAAGATCAATGATAGAGGCATGTCCAGTATTTAAATCTGCCTGACAGCGAGCCCGACCCTGCTGTGTAACGGTACTTCTGTTTGCACAGGGATCAGGATCATAGCCAATAGCTAACGGTCTAGGAGAATATCCACAAATCATACGACGATTGCATGCTATTATTGCCTTCCGTACGTGCATGCTGACAGTCTGACAGTCACAGCTACAGCTCCAGTTTATGTTCCGGTTCGTCCTCGCAAAACACACTCCAGATCGGCACGGGTTCGTCGCTCTCGTGCACGCCGGGTTTCAGCAGTGTCTGTCGTCCGATACACATGGGGCCTCTGTAGTTTGGTCAGTATGCTGGACTAGTTTGAGACAGAGACTCATCAACAATTGGGCAGCGTACGTGAAGAATCGACATGGCTTCTTGACCCACACCGTCGTCACCTCACTGTAGCGGTCAGTCAGCATCATAACTGCATGCGCTGTTTGCTGTGGACGTACTAGGAATCCAGATTGTGACAATCGCCCATGGGCACGCTAATTGATTTGCTGCCCTCTTCCATAGTTTCCAGCCCGATCTGCAATATCCCTGTTAGTGCTGCGTTGGAAGTGAAAGAGGATTACTGACAGTCGTGTTTTTGGCCGCGGCCGAAACGACCAAGAGCATGACCCAGGAGAAACGCATTTTGAATAATCGTATGAGTGTATGAGCGTATAATGGTAGAATAGAGAAGAGAATCGGGCAGAAAGTATTTATTTCTTCCAAACTAGGGATAGAGGGATAGCAAGGGGGTGGCTCGAGCTCGACTCGTGTCTCCCTTGCGGATCTATACACAGTGGAAACATTCCTACCATCGCGATGGAATCAATTGTTAGGGCCATTCAGGATCCACGACAGATTGAATCTCCTCCAGATGATAGCCCGATACGAATTCTTGCCCGTCCCATCATTGAAGAAATCGCTCTCCACCAACGCCCCAATCTTATAATCCCCCGTCTTGGTCATACTCGAATACCCCCCCTCATTGCCCGCCCCGGTGACCTTCGCATCCTCCAGCTTCCGCCCATAATCGAACTTGCGCGCGTCATCATCATAGCTGATCCGCACGCGCATCTCCCGCCGACTCGTCGCCAACGCGGAATTCAAAAAGATCGTCCGCGCCGGCGCATCGCTGTTATACCGCAACACCGACCCCTCGCATGCCGGATCCGGCAACCCGGTGTCTGGCGCAAACGCCCCAAAGCCGTCCAGCGTCCCCCGCGCCACAATCCGGTACCCCTTGGCGCTGGGCCGGTCGTTGCGGTACAGCTTCCCGTCCGGCGTCTGTGCGATCGTCCCCTCCGCCCCGGCCCCGGACAGCGGCTGCACGCTCCACGTGCGGTTCCCCGGCGCGCCGCGGCCCACGATATTCCGGCCCATCGCGGGGATGACCAGCTCGCCGGTTGTCAGGCGGATGCCGTTGCCGGGGCCGACGGCGTCCCAGGTCCAGCCGTCGGGGGTGAGCTCCTTGGTGAGGTCCACGGGCTTGGACCAGGTGTTGCCGTCGTCTTTGGACTCGGTGAGGTACAGGTGTCGCCGGCCTTCCCAGGTGGAGTCGATCTTCTTGGTTACCGTGCCGTCGGGGAGGACGTCCTTGCCGTGCTGGCTGTAGGTGGCGCCGTTCCACGAGAGGAACAGGTAGATGGTGTTGTCGTCGTCGACGACGGGGGTGGGATTACCCCAGGTGCCTGCGCCGGAGCCGACGACTTCCCGCAGAGACTCCCAGTCGGATGGACTGGCGCCATTGCTCGTGGTCGTCTTGGTGCGCTTGTAGACGAGGTTGATGTCGCCAAAGTCCCGGTTATCGTGCCGGCGGCCCTCGGCGAAGGCGAGGATGCGGCCGGTTGTGGTGCGGACTACGGCGGGGATGCGGAACGAGTGGAAGCCGATTCCTGTAGACAGTTTATCTGGCGAGGCCATGTTGGCGCTGCGGAAGAGAGGGAATTCATCGTGGTAGGGAGCGGCCGATTTGGCCGGGTCGTTGATGGCCCATGCTGGGAGGAACTGCACAAGCAGCGCCAGGATGATGAAGCGCAGCGACTGCATCTTGCCTAATTGCTGTTGTTGTGAATGTAACCGGCACCGCGTCAGATTTTATAGCCATAGCCACAAAAGCACCCTGAGCGTGCTATCCAGACATTCTTGAATATCAACGCACGTGGGTGTCTTCTGTAGCTAACTAAATATAACCTCGTGTTGATCAGACAGACCTCGTATACGATCGACATTCACGTCGTATTCGTTCGATAACTCATTACGGCAGTAGCGAATACGAACTCGGAAATTAGACCGAGTGCCTTGTCAAGCTACAAGGATTCCGCCGCAGCTTGGCTATTGTCGTGTGATGCTCAATTGGAGAATGGCTCTCTGAAGCAGCCCCCTTTGTCTGCAGATTCAAGGACAACTGCTGTCTTGGCCAGGGTAACCATCCACCAGTCCTTCGACCACAGCAGTCGTGATCACGACGCTAAATGAATGAGGCGTCAATGTTCATTCTTGTCCATCGGAACTTTTCCAGCAATCCCCTGCCAAGAGCGTCAGCCTTCCAGAGTTGGCCTCAAAACGCGAAGGGAGCAAGGATGTACATCGTCACGACATAGTACCTGGCCAAATTCACCTAGCTAACCTCTGACACGACGAGCATCCAGGCATCCAAACGTTCCCTGTAGTATCCAATTCCCAGTCGTATCAGCCAATGGAGGACTAGAAGTAAAAGTGCTCATATAGCTGAAGGTAGCGGGAAGAAGAGCAACACTTGTAAACTGGCTTCAGCTAGCACATAATGAAGCACAGATATTCCTCGCCAGGGAAAGCAGTCTTAGTAACATGGATGCTTTCTCGCTTTGGTTCCTCGTATCCTGGAGAGTGTTCTCATTGACTAATTTGTCCGTGTATGGTTCGAAAGTAGAGTCTCTCCATCAATAGTAGACAAAGTCTGCCGAGAAGTGCTCAGACACGGCTTGAACCATTATCTGAATGAGATTTGACAAGATTGAGAACGAAACAGAGAATAGCATTGACTGCAATTGAGCCACTCCCCAGCTTTGCAATTCCACTCTAACGACATGATAACCAGATGTGACAGGACACAAAACTGGACACATATAAAAAGCCTTAGAATATTTGCGGAAACAGACAGCCTGATCATCAATAATACCAATACGGCGTAAAATGACCACATTTCCTCTACAGGCTCGTTTCTCAATACCCCTCTCTCTATCGGCCTCCTCATCGATACTCATCCCTTCATTAGTCTCATAATCTTCAGGCTCATTAGTCTCACTCTGACTCCCTTTATCTCGAGCTCTTTCTGCACATGCAGGGGACACGCCGGGTAAAACATTGGCCTGCTATCTGGGCCATATCTGGGACATCGCGTACTTTGATCTGTTGCCATTGTGAACAAGTACTCTGTAGACTGTCCTGGGAAACGTTCTCGGATGAGGTGGTAAGGCTGGAATCCAGAAGGGATATCGACACAATGCATGCACTCATATGCAATGTAGTTACTGCGGCACATTTTGATCGGGTAGTGATGTCAGAATAAGGAGCTTGATTTTGGAGAGGAGTAAAGTAAGTGAAAAGTAGTTGTTTCGGATTCAAGTCCTCGGTAACATACTGTTGACTAAGCACAACTCAAATAAGAAAGTTTCTGAGGTTGTCCTCAAATTCTGTGTGCTTCACCTGTATCATCGTCAGAAATGTTTGTTTGAGCAGCCTGAGCAGGAGCTATGCCTTCGGGTCTAACATCGCGAAGACCTCTTCTGCAATAACACTCCGGGCAGCGGACTGCCTGGACCACCTCAAATTTCTTGAACCCTAGAGGTTTAGAACATTTGCAACACCCAGCGCAGCGAGTTCTCCACCCTTGGAGACCCTGACAGGACGCGAATGGGTAATAAATCTTGCCCCGAATCGAAACTGGCGCCGTGGGGTTGTATAGGCGCTTTAACAATTTGCGGCGGATGCAAAAGCGCGTCTCAGCTTCAGTGCCGTTTTTGGCACGGTTGCCTGTGATTTGGTCGTGGTCGAATTCCTCGTCCGGGACGATCATGCGGCATTCGAAGCACGCATGTTTATTTGCGTTTCTGGGAGTGTTAGTTCTGATAGTGACTTGTCGAGGGTGGAGTTGAACTCACTGTGGCCATAAGTCGTAGCCCTTTAGGAACGAGACCTGCTGGGCAGCGTCTGCGGAGGGTGGACATCCACGATGGCGCGGAAGTATTGATTGACCTGGCTGACCGAGACCTTCGACGCGTAGTCGGTGTTCTCAAGAATGAGGAGATGAATCTCCCTAGGGGGATTCATAATGGGCGTGACAGTGGACTGTCCATGATGATTGTTCGAGATTTGTATATCTCTGTGGAGATTAGTGGTTAAAGCTTGTAGCTTGTAGAGATGCGAGAGGACGCAGAATGCAGAGGTAGTAGAAAGAGAGAACGAGAGCATGATAGAGAAGGTTTTATACCCATGATGAAGAGCACAGTGATAAAGTCTGTAGAGATTCAGAGCGCTCTGGATATGGATATCTCCTTTTATGTCAGATATTTCCAGCGTATTCACTGGTCACTGACTGTGGAGCGGATAAGTATACATAAGAGTCTGCATCTTTCCTTGATTTAACAGGACTTGGCTTTATCTACAGTGAATGATGTATTACTATTTTTGGCTTGAAAGTAGTTATGAAGAATTCTATGAGAAGCAGACAAACTCCACACAGATAGGGCGGACCCTCATCATTGCATGTTCCTGCATTGAGCATGGCCATAGTTATGTTTCGGGATAGGTAGAGGATCAGATAATAAAGATTAGATTCAATACAACATGCATAGAGAACAGACAACTGGTTCTTGGTCTGCAGCCAGCCGCGACTGCATGCGGATAGCCACGCATGGTCGTCTCAACCACAGTACTATCAACCGAACAGTTACGTACAGCATGTAGTGCCTGCAACGGAGAAACCAATCCTAGGGCTCAAGTTTATGCGCCCCTTGTCCCGATCTCGACTTCATGACGCTAATTTTTGTGTACGCGACGATGGCCTCAGAAGGCTGAGTGCTCCACCAACCATGTGTAAGCTCCCCGTAACAAGGACTTGCATTCCCTCTTCACGGTCCCCTATTTCCCTTGCAAGCCTTACTGCCCCCTCAATTGTTGGTGTAGTTGTAACCATAGCCTGTGGATCAAGTTCCTTCCACACTGAGCTGTACAGAGCGCATACGTCATGTGATAGTGGCTTAGAGTCTTTGATGGATTGGTCTGCCCTTCATCAGTCAAGATCTGCAGAGGATTCCTCCTATTTCTACTTACTGATAGGGTCACCATCTTTCTCTTGATATGTAGTAAAGATGACATGGCCAGGTGTCACCTTATTTCTAAAGAGTGCCTGTGCTAAAGACCGCACAAGCATCACCCCATCTCGCTCTTCTGACAGATGACTGAAAATAAGGGCGTGACACCTTCCTATCTTAGCTGGCAATCACTTTAGACTGTATTTGGTTAACTTACTTTTGCTCATTTGTGTTCTTGGCAAACCATTCTGCAGTTTGTTCTAAACTCAGAATATTATGTGCCCCATCCACAAACCATTGTAATTGCCCTTCATCAATAATCTCAAATCTCCCTGCCAGCTGGAAACTTTCTATACCATGATAGATGTCTGCATCGCTAAGTATATGGCCAGGTGCCTTGGTTTGAAGAAATGCTTTAGTGAGCTCAAGCGCTAAGGAGCAGTTCAATCGTTGTACTGGGACGCTGAGTACTCTACCATTGGGAAGGCACTCATTTGCTGATATGAACGTCAAAGTAGTGCCTTTATCAAGAGCACGCTTTCGCATAACTTCCGCGGGGCCTGGGTCCTGGGTTACAGAAAAGGCGGGTGCACCTGGTTTAAATATTCCTGCTTTATGCCAGGCAATCGTCTCAACGGTAGGTCCAAGCTGTGCAACATGGTCCATTCCAAGAGACGTGATTCCGGTGACAACGGGATTTCGTATCACGTTTGTTGCATCATTCTCTCCGCCATGGTGGACCTCAAATATTGCCGCATCAACCTCTTCTTTGATGAAGGTGTGGAAAGCCAATATGGCGAGGAACTGTAGGTATCGGGGCTGCTTTGTGACTCCCGCATCCAGTTCTGTACCCTTGGGCATAATGCGATCCCACACTTCGAAGAAATATCGGGTAAACATCTCTTCCGCGACTGGATGGTCGTCAATTTGTATTCTTTCGCGAACGCATTGTAAATGTGGACCGGTATAGAGTCCAATCCTCTTGGGGAACCCTGTCCTCAGGCTATGTGCACGAAGGAAGCTGCATGTAAAAGTGCAGGTGCTGCCCTTTCCCTTCGTGCCGCTGACATGGATTACATTCAAGCTGTCGACCGCATTATCCTAGAATTCAAGTCAGAGGGCCAGTGTATCGCAGTTCATTGATAGTTCGTACTGAGTGCCCTAGAATTTGCAGCCATTCCTTCATTCCAACCAAGCTTGGTACGCCTCTGCCAGAATTCCGATTCACGGTCGTCGTATCTTGGACGGTGGAAACTGGAGTTGTCAGACCAGTCGGTCGGGCGCTACGTCTTCTCGTTTCAAGGAGTTTGAGTGCGTTCTTCGCGTTGTTAGTCTTGGTATCAAAACTCTATAGAGAGATATACCTCGTAAGTGTGCTTCATTTTGGCTTAACCGATGGTTTAATCCCGGGTTGACAATTCCACAACCATTCGAGGTTGCCTCACGCTTCTCTTTCTGTCTGTCGTCTTAGCTGGCACGTATCTATGTCATAGTTAGCCTCGTAGTCTTCATCATAAGGGAAGCGAGGGTACATATACTTTGGACCCGGGTCATTCCATGGTGGGGGTGATGCCTGGTTTAAACAAAGGATCATAGACAAAGAGCTCGGGTTGTCACACACGCTCGCGTCTCTTGCCAAAATTAAGGATGGCCTGCAGCATATTCCTGCGGTATGTGTGATAGAAGGGCAAGGCTCATCTAATTTAGATATACTACTAGCAGTGAACCGAAGATTTTCCCATCATGGCAATGCCTTGATCTGGTCAACATGCTCCCCTGGTCGTACCTCCAGGAGCGTGTACACTGACTATCTCTTTGATGAAGTTGTAAGATATCGATTTTCCATTGGAGTTGTATATATATCAGTTACGAAGATGCTTCACTACAGTATGCAGTTATTCCTGAGAAGTAAAACAAGCCAAGGAATAGAGCAGTTTGTTGTAGCTACTCTGACGAACCCTTAGGAGTGCGAAGTACTGAAGGCGAGCTCTTTACTCAAGTTGTAAGCTGGCAGGAGTTCGTAGGCAGATTGTTGGACATGGATCTATCGAGAATGGCCCAACTTGCCGGTCAGCATAATGGACAAAGTTGTGGCGGTAGGAGTTGATGATAAACGGTCGATTAATTCAACGTTTATACTGCACTTCATGGCCCGGGGCTACTCTCTAGACTCTCTGTGTCAGCTTATAGAGCAATCTTACTAAACGGTATGTCATCTCTGTCTACTAGTGGGCGGTGGATGTGGCACTCTATGTTTGCAGATATAACATATGGCGAGGTCAACGTTTCAGAAGCGAAGCGGCTACTTCAATGCTACTCCATGGACTGGACGTCTGATACAGAACAGTAACCAAGCGGAGATACATCAATGCTGCTGCGACAAGCTATTGCAAACCATTTCCATGTTCAATACCCGATTCATTCCAATATCCCAAGAACTGTCCATCAGCGCGTTCAACGAGACTTGATCTTCCAACCTTCCTGTACATTGTCCTACTGCCACAGCAAACTTCAAAACATAACCCTCAGCATAATCCCTAAGAAGACACAATCACCAGTTTCTCAAAACAGTCCGAGTTCAGCATAAGAGGCGAAGTGGTGCGTCTCAGTCGACCACCTAGCGCAAGACCTAGCATCGATTTCATGTGCCATCTCCTAATCTCCATATTAGTATCTCCAAGCAATGAGAAAAAGGCTTCAAAAAAGGACTTGACACATACCAACTATCCATAAGATCATTCCCCTCGCCGCAGCATCGTAAAGTCGACGTCTTGCAATTATCACATTGGCGATAAACCCGTACACAACTTCACTGCAGGTGGCGGTAATAATATGCCATCTGGTCATCCATGATGGCATTATCATAGGGATGGTATGTCCCTCCATTCGTGCCACAGGAGATACAGAATCTCCTCGACGCTGCATAACCATTCTTATCGAACTTCCCCGTGATCTGATCGTCGGTAAAGTTGGCAGCCGGCAGAAATACCCAACACTCAAAGCAAAAGAAGTGGCCGGCGTACCTAGAGGTATGTAAGTATAGGATCGCACCTTCTACAACCCCCAGCCTGGACTACTGCTTGAAGATGTACTCACTCCGGCCACGTTTCCAGCTTCAGATAGTAAATGTCAAAGTCCCCCGACTTGAAGTACTTTGGATCCTTGACGGTAAGAGCAGAACGAAGGTATTTGTTTGCATTTTTCAATGCCACTGCCGATGCAGGATCTAGGTAATCGCAGATCATTAGGTGGATCTCTGCTGGGAGATTGAGGAAAGTAGTTGTGGACGCCATGATTGAGTGGGTTTTGTGCTCAACTTAGACAAGGAAAGGTGCTCAAATTAGACCAAGAAAGGAGTATCCAGAAGGCAAAGAGTTGCATTGTTCTAAGAGTACTGCTTTATAGGAGATCATGCTTCGCATTCTGTGACTATTCCCAGCTGCATAACGGAGTACTCCGTTATGAGAAGCCTGAGGAGATGCGCCTTTATCCGTGCACCTTTATCATGACTTCATGCACAGGTGAATGGAGTGTGCATTGCCTGGCTATTGCCGGCTTCATAACGGAGTGCTCCGTATGAGGAGCCTGAGATGCCCTCCCATCTTGAGAGTAATCGTAACTTGTCTTCAATAAACGGTAGGCTTCTGGCATCAGATTCACAGTGTCAACGAGTCCGGGACAGGAAGCTTAGCTTCGGTCATCATGAGTTAGGGCTGTTTCTCTGCCTGGATGACAGGGTTCGTAGTCATGACTGTGTTTCGATGGCCGCGTTCATGACAAGTCCCAGCAATTCGAATGATTTTGCCAGGCGATTATAGCTACTCTTGCACGCAGTAAGCCCTGTAGTCTGCCATAGCCAACTGAAAACAAATGATAGTGAGATTCATGCGGCATCGAGGAATTCCTGCGAGCCCACAACAGCTCAAAGCTCAAGAGTCGATTATATTGAAACCATTTCTGATTAGAAAGCAAGTCCCATGTACGACAAGTATGAGCAGAAATTGACGATCAAATGCGTTGAAGCAGGCCATCCGTGGACTCTGGTGGATCTCGTATATCAGACCCACTCCTCACAACTTCCTAAAACGGAAGCCCAGAGTCAGCGCCAAGAGGCCAAGCTTCTATGTAGGATGACACTATCCTGCATGTTAAAGATGCGTAGACTGAACGTGGGTTCAATTCTCCGAGTAGAAACTTATTCTGGAAGGTTGGCCTCACTAAGTGTCTTGGCCGTGTCGACACGCCCATGCTTAGAAATCAGAATGTCCTGTAGATATAAATTGAGATGTCGTCGACAGGTTGATTCCTCGTCATGAACATGACTATGGAGGATAAGTCGGTTAAAAAGGTTCCTGCCGAGATGGCTACTGTCCAAGATATAGAAGACAGTGAAGCTCGCCTCGAAAGACTCGGCCGCGAGCGACCACCCTGCTTCTCCAGCTTGTGGTCCGAACTAACCTTTTGCTTCTCTATCGTCATGTCCCAAATCCTCGCTGTATGCCCTCCCCTCCATACCTCCTACCGGTAGCTAACAAGATTCCAGGAATACTACATCTCCGGCTCCAACATCCTCCTCCCAACCCTCATCTCCGCCCTGGACATCCCCCTCGCCTCCTCCATCTGGCCCTCCACCGCGCTGTCTCTAGCAGTCACCTCCACCCTCCTCATCTTCGGCCGCCTGGCAGACATGTACGGCGGCTTCGCATGCTACCTCTTCGGCGCCGCCTGGCTCACCCTCTTCTCCATTCTCGCCGGCTTCTCGCAAACCTGGCTAATGCTCGTCATCTGCCGCGCACTCCAAGGCCTCGCGCTCGCTGCATTCCTGCCATCAGGCATGATGATCCTGGGGAGCGTGTACCGCCCGGGCCCGCGCAAAAACCTCGTCTTCAGCGTGTACGGCGCCTGCGCGGCGCTGGGGTTCTTCGTGGGGATTTTCTTCTCCGGGCTGTGTGGACGGTTTCTCAGTTGGAGGTGGTATTTCTTCATCGGGGGGATTTTAGCCGCGGTAACGGCTGCGACGTCGTTTTTCTCCATTCCGAGTGATTTCGCGGAGCGCAGGAAGGGGAGGAAGGTGGGTATGGATTGGTTGGGGGCCGGGCTGCTGGTGCCGGGGCTGGTGTTGCTTGTGTTTGCTATCGCGGGGAGTGCGCATGCGCCGAGGCAGTGGGCGACGGCGTATATTGATGTGTGTCTTGCGCTGGGGGTGGTGCTGCTCGCGGTGTTTGTGTATGTGGAGGGGTGGGTGGTGGGGGATCCCCTCGTGACGGCGGATGTGTTTGCGGTGCGGTATATGAAGCCGCTGCTGTTCTCGCTTGTTTGTTTGTACGGAAGTCTGGGGATTTTTCTGCTGTACGGAGCATTATAGTACGCCCCTCTCCCCTGTCTGTCGTGTGGCCACGCTAATCCAGTACAGCATGCAAAGTGTCATGCACGCCAGTCCGCTGCAAATCGTCGCCTGGACGGTCCCCATGGCGTTTGGAGGCCTCCTCATCTCAACAGTCGGCGGCTTCATCCTGCACCGCATCCCCGGCACGATCCTCATGCTCATCTCCTGCTTGGGGTATATCGGCTCGGGCCTCTTCTTTGCTCTCCTCCCCGAGAACGGAGGGTACTGGGCGTTTGTCTTCCCGGCCATGATTTGCGCGACGATCGGAATCGACATCAGCTTTAATGTTACTAACATTTTCATCACGAGTAACATGCCGCTGGAGAAGCAGGGGCTGGCGGGGGCGCTGATCAACTGCACGTTGCATCTGGGGATCGCGCTGCATTTAGGGTTTGCGGATATCGTGCAGGTCAACACCGATGATCAAGGGCTGAGGAAGAGTTACCAGGCTGTGTTTTGGTTCCAGGTTGCGCTATCGGGGCTCGGGCTGGTGGCGAATGCATTGTTTGTGAGGATTAGTCGGGCAAAGAGCGACCTGACCGTTGATGAGCGAAGAGCTTTAGAAAGCAATCTATAGCATCTATACTTAATCGAATCATACAATACAGTCTACTCCTGCCGAAGACGAAGTCTCTCCCCCCTCCAATGCAGCAGCGCCGTCGGCACAAAACTAACCCCCATAATCAACGCCGTCACCACACCCGCACTCCTCGCAATGCCGACCCTCTCAAACATCGCCGTGAACCAAAACGGCCCGATAAACCCCCACTCGGACCTCACGAAATTGATAAACACCCCGGTACTCCCCGCATCGGCCGGGTACGTATCGACCGCATACGTCGTCAGCACCGTCGTCACAACCTGGTTCCCAAACGCCGCGACCCCCGTCCCCACCACCGGCGCGACGGTCCAGACCCCTTGCTTCGCGTGCTCAGTGCACACCAGGAAGACAACCATGCCTGCGATGGTTAGCAGGAATCCGATATAGCTCAGCCAGAGGCGGAACTCGGGCGGCGGGCGGCGGGATATGCGGCGCGCGCGAAAGGCCATCCAGGTGTCTGAGGCGTGGCCGCCTAGCTGCTCGCCGAGGAGGGAGCCGATGATGAGCCCGAGGAACTGGAGGCCGAGTTGTTGGGCGTTGAGGGCAAACTTGGACTGCAGGAGTTGGGACACTTCGACGGAGTTGAGGACGCTGCCGAAGAGGAAGACCATTGCGTAGGCGCAGGCGGCGGTCAGGACGGGGATGTTGGTGAAGAGGGTGAGGGGGTGGTAGAATTCGCGGAGCGTGAAGGGGGKGGGGTCGATGCGTCGGAGGGAGAGGTATTCGCGGTGGAAGGCTGTTTTGCCTGTCGCCATGTCTTTGCCGATGTAGCGGGTCTCGGGGCCGACGAAGAGGTAGAGGATGAATTGGACGGCATTGGTCTGTACTCAGTCAGCGGTAGCTCTTAAACCAGACTGTAAAGAACTGACAATAGCTAAAATCCAGTATATCCACCTGTATCCCACACGCTGCGCGACAAACCCAAAGATGAACGGCCCAATCGGCACCCCCAGCGTGACCATCACCGTTCACACACCCATATACCTCGCTCTCTGGCGCTTGAAAAACGTCTCCGCGACGACCGCACTCCCAATCGCCATAGCAGGACAGATGAAGAAGGCGACGAGCGCCCTACACGCCGCCATAGAGGCATAATCCGAGCTCTTGGCGCAGCCGATATTGCACGCGCAGCTCAGCACCAGCGAAACCAGAAAAATAGGCCTCCGTCCGAACCGATGCGAGAGCGGTTTCCAGACCAGCGGGCCGCCACCTAGGATGGCGATCTGCAGCGAGGTGAGGTAGCTGACTTTCTGGATTGACACGCCCAGGTCGACCGCGATGTCTTCGTACGCGGCGATGATGCCTGCTGCGATGAAGGTGCCCATGAACGCGTGGAAGGCCACCAGGAGGAGGTTGGTTATTCTCTGTTTTCTTTAATCTCTGTTCGAAGTCAGGATGGGCAGCATTACCTTCCATAAGGGCCAGTTGTATGGATCTGCCGGGTCCATACTCGGGAGGGGGTCGAGGTCCAGGGTGCCATGTCGCTGGAGGAGATACGCACGGTGAGGCTCGGATAGTTCGCTGGCTGGGTCTGGCACAATATTGGTGTGTGTTTCTGCTTTCTCAAGAAAGTCAGACTGCGTTTTCATTTTTCTGGATGTGTCGTCCATGGTAAAAGCCTGTTCCGGTAGGTCAATAGATGGCATGATGAGACTCAAAATCGTACAACGATCGTTAAATAAAGATCCTAGGACTGAATCACGGAGACGCCCCTTATGGCTTACTTGACAGGTGGAGATCAACATGCGGTGGACAATAGTCGAGACGACTATTGGTTCCTAATGAAGCTATTCAGCTAGTGCCCGGTAGTTGTCGGTGATTGTTTGCCGTGGGGGAATCCGGGGAGGACTCTCCACTCGCTGATACGCTGATCCTGGGGTTTCTCGGGGTTGTCTCTGTCTGAGCCGCGGAAGACAGCTGTCATTGCCTGCCGATGCTGGGTCAACTGCCGATCTGGATTCCGATGTATACAGGATTATCCTGTCAGCATGATACATCTATTCATAGCCAAACAGGATCCGAATCATTTTTTCTCTCCACTCATAAGTCACAATCGGTATGTTGAAAGTTACAGCCAAGCACTGGGAGCTTAAGTGCTTAACTATGGCTAGCAACAAAGTATATTCGAGGCAGAGAGTTCGCCAAGTATACCAAGTCGGTTCCTGCAGCCACATAACTTAACAAATGAGGATCCAGAACATAGCACTAACTAACTATAAATCCCTTCTTCGTGCACCCCACTGTCATAAGTCCTAGACTAAGCACTTATATTCTTCTTCTGCACCTTTGGCTCCGGAGGAAACGCCTGCTCTTCCGGCGTCACGTTTCCATACACAATATCCCACCGCTCCCGCAGAGGTTCAGGCGTCTCCCAGGCATTTTCCGGGTCCCGCAGCCAGAGACGTAGTAAGTGCCGTCTGCGATTGTTAGTATAACAGAGATATATGTATATATTTTACCAGGAGCAAGGCTTACTCTTTCCCCGGGGCATCGCGGAACCCCTTGCGAGCATGGAAAATGCTCAAGTTATTGATATACTGCACGTCGCCCTTCTGGAAATCTAGCGAAGCGCTGTGCTCCTCCGCCAGAAAGTGCAGCGCGTCGAGCGCCTCGGCCTGTGCCTCGGTGATGGGCGGGATATTCGTTGAGCGGGGCTGGGCGAGGAAGCCGGTGAAGTAGCGGCGGGCGTACTGGATGAGGACGCGCTCGGGTGTCGAGGCCGTTGCCTTCTGGTGGTAGAGCAAGGGCCGCGAGGTATACGGGCGCTCGGGGTTATTGAACCTACACTGTAAGCGAGGATTGACAGCAGGGGGCTAGGGGTTGCCACTCACCCATCCACAGGCCAATCTGTCGCCAACGTCCAGATCAAATCCGGCCGTTCCTTGGCGAGGATGTTGTACACGAGCCAGCTGCTGGATATCTGGCTTTCGCCGCCCTCTGCGGCTGTCTGGAGACAGAACAGCGAGATGATATCCCCTGCGTCGGTGTGGAAGACCTGTTTGTCGGCGGTGCTGGCGGGTCCACCGATTTTGCCTGCTTGATCGGTGCGAGTCAGGTCCTTGATGTGCGCGAGCATGACAGAGGTTCCGTCCTCCTGACGCTGATCCTGCTGCCGGCCGCGGAGGCTGCCGATGTGCGAGGATACGCCGGCGTAGATGAGGATGTTGTCTTCGCGGGAGTACCGATCGACGTCTAGGCCGCGGAGGACGAAGAAGCCTCGGCCGTTGTGGAGCTCGTTGGAGCGATCTCGCAGTATAGGATGGAGAGTGGGAAGGGGGAATGTCTCTTGACTGATATGGCCGGGACCAAGGCCGAGCGCTGTGGAAGTTAGAACATGTCTTGACATTGGTTCGATAACTCACCCTTGAAGCTATTCAATGCAGCGTGTATCTCCTCTCGCTGCGCGTCATTGAGCTTATAGATCCAGTCATCCTGCTTTTCTATCTCCTTGCCCTCCCAGACAAGAGGAGAAGAAAGTGTCTCGGGGAAGCCAGGAGGAAGAGACTTGGGCAGATCCTCGGTTGCCTTTCGACGCTGCACGCGGGCGAGATACTTTTCGTAATCCGGATGATACTGGATATCAGGTTGACGGAGTGTCTGAACTTCGACCATTTTGTGACTTGATCCTAGGAATACGCTTTGATTGTCCGATGATCAACTCTGCGCCTGGACGGGAATGGGGTATATAGACCCCGCAGGCATCACATCATCCGACGCCTGAATAGCGAAGTATTGCACCATCATATATGATCTGCACCACACTAAACTGCCATCCATTAATATGTCCCCCTCTGTAATTAACGTTTCCTTATCAAACCTCCCGCCCCATTCTGCCAAAATGTAACTGGACTCCCATATCACCTCTGAAGGGCAGTAACCACTTTCGGGGGGCGGGCTAGGATCGGTCCGGTTGTGGATTGGATATGGATTGATCTGCACTATATTTGATCCAACTCGTGCAGATAATGGGTTGATTTATGACCTGTTCAACCCACCCTCATATCCAGGCGGATTGGATTGTGGATAATGGATATGGATTTCCGGGTTGGGTCAACCAGTCTAGTCCAACCACTAGGATATAGGGCGACGGATCCGATCTACGACAATTCGACAACACATTTTCTGTCTTCTATCTACTTTGACAGCAACTATCAAATGGGCGTCTTCCACTACTTTTCGCAGCTCCCTCTAGAATTGCGCCGTCTCATCTGGAATCAGTGTGCCTACCGCATCCCAGACTTCCTTCTCGTCGGCAACGAATCCCGTCAAGCCTGCTGGGCCAACCGCATCACGCACCAGAATGCCCAGCCGCTGACCATCGCATTCGTCACAGCGAATGTCAGCAAGTCACACTGGAACAGGGACGCAGGTTAGACCTGGACAAGACAACTAGCCTGGAGTTGATATAGGTGCAGCCGCGTCAGGATGTGCTGCATCTTAGCTGGTCACGCCAGCGCTACATTATCTAGGGAAATGCCGACGACCCTTCAAGTCAGATTGCTATGTCACTGTGGCGGGTAGAGGATCTGGGGATGCAGCCTTCTGTTATGGCAGAGATTATTCATCCTTTTAGCTTAGAGGCACTCTTGGAGGTGCGGATGCATCTGATAGCCTATGGCTTCTTTATCACAGTGTAAGAAATAAGGACGTGCTGGACATTACGTATTGTGCGGAGAGTTAAAGCAGGCTAGACATCACTATGGCGGCTGTTTCACTACATATCACCAGGGAAGACGCTCTGATGTCTGGCCTGTTCTGGTTATTGGGCGATGCGCCTGTGCAGATGGTTGATATTGGCGACAAGGCTTGATTGAGGGAATTTCAAGCATTAAAATGAACCAGCCGTGCAAATGCTCTTCAAAACATTTACCAGTTCTTGATTCCAAACGGCCGTGGAAGCATGGAAATGATAAGCTGAATGGACCATCATCGCGTACATGTGGCAGTCGGCACAAGAGGAAAACCTCAACCTTCTTGGGATGAACCTGGGCTCCGCTTGGGTCCCTCGTCTGTAGGAGAAAGAAGAGTTCATCAGGATGTCTCAGTATTTTCCTGATGAGAAGCATCCGTGGGTCAAGCAAGCTAGGCAAAGCATGCCCGAGCTGCGGCCGCGGATCATGGTGTGATATTGTACCAATGAGTGTTATATCAAGGAGCGACTTCCCAAGAACTTTGGGAAGCTTGGTGGTTTGAAGGGCAGCTGGCGTTTCTTTTGTGCGGGTCCTTCGGCCATGATTATGATCAGTCTGACAATTCATGGCCGTAGAATCAATTGGGCAGTTTGAGCAGAACTTGAATACATGTATATCGTCGGCTACCTATAGATCACTACCACAGGCTTCAATTGAATCAAATAAACCAATGTTTTCGATAAATATTACCCATGTTCTGCATGCGCTATTCTATTCCACTTTTAAATAATCCGTTGACGGCCTGCAAAAACCGTTCAATGTCTTCTAAAAATTCACTCGGCCGCTCCAGACTAGCAAAATGGCCTCCCTAAATTTCAAATAAGCATTTTTTCCATATCACATAACAGCATTTCCAACGTCAACTTACCTTTGAATGGGCGTTGAAGAATGCTAGATTAGGGTATATTTCTTGAACCCAAGGTTTGGGTAACACAGCAAGGTCGTATGCAAACATTGAATACCCCAGAGGCTTCTCTGTTGAAATCGGATGCGGAATGCCCACAGAGTAATTTCTCACGAGGTTTGCATGATACAAACTCCGGGAAAAGGTCTGGGTAAACCAATAGAAACTCATGAGCCCAAGAATGGTATCAAGAGGGAGCTGCTCCCGAGGGTCGGTCCATTCAAGAAGCTTCTCCCCAAGCCTAACTTGGCGTTAGCAAAAAGCTGAGTCGGGTGATAAGGGTACAATACCAAGCAAGCAGGGAAAGTGGGCTAGACGAGATGGCCAAGCCAACAGTGGCAGGACGAGTGCCATGTTCAAGAGCATATGCCAACCCATCCTGTTGCCATTTCAAAGTCCTCTCAAGGATGCGGAGATCATCCAGGGCTAAGCAGTCAGTAGAAGGGGGCGTACTTCCGGGTTCGAGCGTGAGCATGTTGACTATATTCGTTAGCAAATATTTAAAGCCGGCAGGGGCCAGCGCTGTCTGAATACATACTGTGGAAAGCTTTACACTCCTTGTGGTTGACGGACATGAGGCGCGCAATCATACTACCAAGGTCCCCGCCTTGAGCGACATATCCTTTCTCAAATCCAAGTGCAATCATTAAGCCATTCATAATGCTCGCAGCTCGCTCTAGGGTCATTTCCAAGTTCTGACTCAAGCTTCCAGACAATCCATAGTCAGGAAGAGAGGGCGCTATGATGTGGTAGGGTAGACTCTCGGGTGTATATTTGTTCCTCAGCAGGTCCATCATGGGAAGAAAATCCATAAAGGAGGAAGGAAAGCCGTGAAGAAAGACGATAGGGATAGCATCTTCCCTTTTCGAAAATAAGGCAGCGAAATGAACATCAATTTGACAGGAATCAGTCTCCTTGATGGTGACTTTGAAATTTGGGAAATTGTTGATATAGGACTCGTGTTTGCGCCAATCAAAGGTAGAAAGCCAGATGTCTTTGGCCTTAAGCAGCCACTCACGAGAGACGCCAAAACGAGAGTCATCTTGTTGGT